TTCTTTAATTAAAAGAGTTACTCCCTTGCTTGGCAAGAAGCCTCATTGAGTGTCTTAGCTTGCTCTGCTTACAAGACTGAGGGCATCTGGCTGTTCCAGCTGTTCCTATGGTGCCTCTTTTTGATCAGCCTCAGGTGATTCCTGGCTTGGCGTCTCCTAAAGCTGACATTCCACGGACCAATTGTGCAGGGTTGCAGGGGCCCCCTTTGCCACACAAGTGTTGTATAGATTGTTGTTCAGCCCATGTTCATAATAGAGGCAGGCCAAATTGCCGTGCACAACTGCATGGTTTGGACTCAGGCTCAGAGCTGCAACAGCTCTGTCAAATATCTGGGCTTCCTTCAAGACATCCCCAAGATTGATGTAAGCATCCAAGAAGTTTGGGTCAAGAGTCATCACAGCCTTTTCAAAATGATGAATGGCAAGCCAGATTTCTCCTTGAGTACTAAACAGGCAGCCAAGGTTACTCCATGCAACTGTCAAATTCATGGATCATGACAACTTGTAGGCTTACCACCTCCTATTCTTTAGAACAGGATGTAGTCCTGTGGTTGTGTTAGCCTAATGGTCAAGAAATGTAACCTGTCCCTTGGATTTCAGAATGCAAAGTTGAGGTTGGATTGAAGAGTGCAACCTGGACTTGTCAGCCTTGAATGCATCTTCTGAGTATTGAGAGTTGAACTGAACACTACAGAGTAGAATGTTCTATTAGCTCAAGAGAGTGAGAGCACATTAAGGTGGAGAGGTGAAAAAGCAAATAACGAACAAAGTAGCGTTCACCTAGCCTTCCCAAGGATTCTGATAGGCCAGGGGTGTCAAACTCAATTTCATTGAAGGCCGCATCAGCATTGCGGTTGCCCTTGGGGGGCCGGGTGGGTGTGGCCAGGGTGGGTGAAGCCTACTGGGTGGGCGTGGCCAGCTCTACATTGTTCACATCAATGGTGCCTGTGGGGGCCTGGGCAGGAGTGGGACAGATCTGAGGGTCTTTGGCAAAAGAGGGTGGGACCAGGACAAGTGCCAAGGCATGGTCCACTGGAGGAGCCTCACTGTTCCTCTCAGGCCAGGGGGGGCTGGATGGTGGTGCAGACTGCCTGGAGCCCTGGGCAGCAGAGGTCAAATTCCCAGCCTGGCCCTCGAGCACTTGTGGCACCAAGCCCAGCACCACTTCCCCAAGGGGGCCCAGCTGAACTTACCTCCTCCTCCACCTGCACTTACCTCCTCCAAGAGGCTGAGCCAGGTGGCACGAATCCGAAAATAAGCGCAATGCCACCCAGCCCTCAGCCTGCCCGGTCTCGGCAGGCAACGGGGCGCTCTCCTCACAGTGCCGAGAGGTTGAGCCTTGCTGCCTGCTGAAACTGGGCAGGCTGGGGGCTAGGCAGAATTGCACTTCTCATCAGATTCATGCCACCTGGCTCAGCCTCTTGGTGCTGTGAGGAGAGCGCCCGCTGCCTGCTGAAACCCCTCCCCCGGAGCCCATCAAGCCGGATATGTGAAGTAGGCCAGGGCCATTTGTTGGCCACTTCCAGGCGACGGTGCATTTCTTCATTCCTCACAAAGGGTGTCACCTCCTCAGCATGCACCCTGGGGCAGGGGCTGGTTCCTCGCTGTTTCCAGATGGCCTTGTGGAGCTGACTGAATCCGTTTCAGCAGATGGCCACCACAAAATTGTACATTGGCTCCCTCTCGGCCAGCCTGGGCCAGGCCAAGGCAGTGGGGGCGGTTCCCTGTTTTCAGGATGGCTTCATGGGCCACATGAAACCATTTCGTGGGCCACATCCGGCCCCCAGGCCTTGTGTTTGACATGTCTGTGATAGGCAAAAGGTTTAATGTGATAATAAAGCTCATTGTCTATTCTTATCAGTATCAAAGAACCCATCACCCCACCACCACCACTCTTACCACTGTTCCCTATACTGAGAAGTGAGGTTGCAATACTATATATTGTGTATAGCAATCACAGTATCAAAAAACAAAAAAGTCACTGAAACTGTAAAGCAGTATGAAACACTTCCAAGCCACTCAATTCTATTCAGCAAAGGTTCTCACTGGATGAAGCTCCTTCAGAATGATTCATTCCCAGTTTTGTCAAATCAAAGCCCTACTTCAAAACTTTGGGTAGCCCTATAATTGAATTTAATTTGTTTTATACTGTTTTGAATTTTTCAAAGATCCATGAAAACTGTATTTCCCCCCTCCCACCCGGAAGCCTGGACTCATGGGTTTTTAAAAAATCCTGTAGAGGAATTCAAGCTGGAAAGGACCAATGTTCCCCACTATCATCAAAATAGAACAGAAAAATCCAGAAATAATTCCAGATTTAGGGGGGAGGAGCCTAAAATTATGGAGTGGAAGTTCACTTGCATGATTGTTATAAATATCATATATCTTTTCATTGAAAAAATATTAGGAGCAGATCTTCAATAATAACTGACTAGATCAGTGGTTCTCAACCTGTGGGTCGGGACCCCATTTGGGGTTGAACGACCATTTCACGGGGGTCGCCAAACAACGCAGTCCGCCATTTTCCCCCCCTTTTCCTTAGCTGTGCTACTCCCTTTTATTCTATTGGCTTTTGAAAGCCAATAGAATAGACTCTCTTGAATAGAGTCTAATTCTATTGGCTTTCAAAAGCCAATAGGAATTGTCCAGGCTGTCTCTGCCCTGCTGAGCCCGACAAAAGTCCCATTCTGCAAACGATGCTGCACCAGTTGAGTAGTCCTCGACTTACGACCGACTGGGGGTCGCGGCATTAAAAAGGTTGAGAACCACTGGACTAGATCCTTTTTTTATTCTCACCATTCGTTCCTCAAAATTCCTTCCCCTCCCAAGTGTATTTTCTGTTAATGAAATAAACAGAGCTTTTTTTCTGCAAAATAAAAAATACATCAGGATTTGATGACTTGTCTGATTTGGTTTTAAGAAAATTTAGAAAAAATAGATAAGAAACTGACTTATAATTTTGTCCAGTGGCCAGCATAGTTCCAGAAGGGAGGTAAATATTGCTACAAGCCAGAGTTACAAGTATTTTTTTAATTGTTGTAATCCTAGCTTGTCCTTGCATAAACCTGTCAGAAACATTGTATTGCCAGACTATAAAATAACTGAATTAGTCTGCCATTCCAGGGAACATGGAGTCAACCCCAAATCTTGGGCCCTAAACCTGGTTACAATGGTTGCCAGCCAACCAAACTGTACGTATAAATTTTAAAAAAATCTAATGTTCAATATGAGGTCAGAAGGAAATTATTAAAGTCGGGTGCAGAGTGTATTTATTAAATAATTGTTTGGCTGGTCACACAGTCAGCCAGATGTCCAGACCAAATTTGGCATTTTTATCCACTTATCAAATCCTTCTCAAGGACCTGGGATAGGCAGATATTGCTATTTGATGGGGTTAAAGGTACTGTTACAGGATGTAAGCTGTTCCAAGTAAAGCTGCCTTTTGCGACTGACTGATGATTATTTATTATTTTATTATTACAGTATTCAATCTGGTAAGCTGCCTGACTCCCAGTGACTTTGGCAGCTGTCAACAATCAAACAAAGTACAGTCAAGTTAATAAACATAAAATGTGTTTTTTGTTCCATCTCCTCATCCACTTTTTAACCATTCCCCGGTTTGTGGACCAAGGACTAGTCCACTTTACAGTTCTTTGGGGACATACTTTGGGCATGTTTTCACTTGCTTTAAATTCCCAACTGTTTACAATAAATTTTCAAGTCAGTTCAACACACAAAGTATTTTCATAAATTTTATAATTCCTTCTGTGGTGTGAACAACAAAGGAGTGAAACATTTTAATTATTACTCTTTATTTTTAGACAGCTGTCCTTAACATTTTCCCCCAGTAGCATCATAAAAAAATACCACAGAAAGAGAATGTGCCTCAAGGCACAGTAATGCTAAGAAATATTTCTTTGCCGATACAGGCCAGATTCTTGGATCCCAAGAGATGATTCTTCTTCCTTGACCATAATTTATTACACACTGTCTCAAACTCAGTAGAAGTTTCATGAGGAAAACTTTTTACCATGAACAGCTTCTACCCCCGAGAATTCATGACTTTACAGTAATATTAGGTATCCTTGTCACCAGAATATACTGCTGCACAGGAACACAATTTAAATATGGCCATATGCCATTCATGACCTATGGAATCCTTCTGGATCCTTAATGAGTCTATTCCCATGACCCCTTTCCACCATGACCCCCTTATAGTATGATACTTCAAGGTAATCAGAACTTGTATTTCAGAATCTGTAATCATGATTATAGGGCTTTTTTTCTTCTTCTGTGATCATTTATTTAATAACCTGATTGGTGGAAGCAACTGTGAATATGTGTTGAGAATAGGAACTAGTAAAATTAGATGATACAGCTATCTTATAAAACTTATTAATAAAATCAGATGGCAGTATGTTGTATTATAGATGTTGGATGTTATATTTATGTTAGTGTTACTTTTATGTGTCTATAAATATATCGTGACATATATTGAGTTTATGGTTTATGGTATGGTATTTCCACTAATGTTTTAGCTTAACTGAGAATGTTAATTGTCGATAAATCATATCCCAAGATATTGTAATAGTGTGGAGAAGCAGGAAGGTTTATGCAACAAGGCTTCAGTGTCTTTATTTCAGATATAACATTTCAGCAATTCTTTTTTCTCTCAAAGCCAGAACAGCTAACTGCACTTTAAAAAAAAAAAAAACACTATCAGAGACAATTCTCATGCTGCCTTTTAGAAAGAAAGAACTTTCCATTCCAGTGTTCTAACCAGAACTGGAAGATTTGCATCTAAAAGCCCAAATCAATCTGCAATTATACTGACTTCATGTAATTGTTGATTTGTGTTTTCTAATAGCTGGGAATTATATGCTAATTTTCTAGTTGTTCTGTAATTATTATCCTGGCTCAACAGCCAGCATTCTAATATCTGAAAGAGAATCACCACCATACAATTATGAATTATTGCTTCTTAGTAAATGAAAAAGAAATTAAGTTTTCAAGACTGTAATTTTATTTAATACATATTTTGCTTTTAACAGCAGCCTGAAGTAAACATTAACAACTTGTTCACAACTAGTGAAGAGTTTATAGTGCTTACAAAGTTGTATCTAAAATATACCTTATTCATCCTCTATACAGCATTTTGAAGACAATGTATTATTATAGTGACACATCATATAGCAGTTGCTTTTCTCCCACCACTGTAATTAAGGCATTCTCATCACAAACCTCTCCTCTCATAATTCAGTACCGGCTGATGGTAATACAGAGAAACAATGTAAATTTTGCTCAATAGAAATATTTAAGAGATAATAGCGGCCTATCAAAGTGACTTTGAAAAGATGAGTAATTTGCTCCATATCAGAAGTGCTGGTCAAAAAAATTTCAAGTGGGTGCATATTCACTGAAGAGCAACTATGATGATTACTGAATAAGCTAATATGCAAATGGTGGTATCTGTCTTCAGGACAATATGCAATGAGATACGACTTCATGTTTTAAGGTTTACGAAAACCTGTGAACTATTCTGGACTTCTTAGCAAGATAATGAAGAACTATTACGATTAAGTCCAATATCTTCTGCAGAAAAGTCATCATTGGCAATCAGTCATTACACCCATAAATTGAACCAAATAACACTATTACCTGCAATTAGACTTAGTAAACCTTGTGAAAGCCATTATTCCCTTTCACTTTAAGGTAGCTTAATCCCGTAAAATCTGCCCACAAAACTACAAAGTAACAGATCTTATTTTAAAAACATGTATACCACCCATGTGTTAGGAGGCCAGATAACTACAAAATTATGATGCAGCTCCATTCAAAGCCACACAAGTTGTATTTTGTTACAGCAACACTCCAATTCAATAATTAGACTATCTGGTAAGAGCTAGGTTATCATAGTTAAACCTTCAAAGGACTCCTATCATTTTAATAAGCTCTGCTGACAACTCTGAAGAACTGGATTCAGCAGAACCAAATAAACTCAATAAGGACCAGATCTCTCAATCTTAAGCCACTCAGAGACATTACGCTGTTAGAGATGTCTTAAAATTAAGCCTTATGAATTGTTTTGCGGTATATTTCATATGGGGAAAGGCATATAGGGAGGTGCACTAACACTTTAAGTGTTTTCTAATATTCAATCTGATAACATTACAACTATATTAAAGACCTTGTAGTGCAATAGTGTGAATTTGCAACAGCTAGTCGAAAATTAAAGCTACTGCTATTTTGCATACTGTTTGCTATTTTTCTAAGACTTATTGATTGCACATTTTCCTTTCCAAAGCTTGGTTTATTTTCCCCCCAGGCTCTCATTGCATATTCTTCATGTATTAGTGTGCAAGTCTTTAAAAATCTTAGTTTTCCAATTCTACATTTTTATGAATATATTAAAAGAAAAATAAAATTATATATATATAATTTATACACGCACATATTTTTCTTTGGACCAATAACAGCCTCTTTGAGTGGCTGCATTTTTTAAAACTTGCACTGAGTATAATTTTTTTTAAAAAACACCAGCAGCTTTTCACTTTATACACAGATTATAGTAGCAATTAAATTGAATGATTTAAAATGGTATTATAAAGAAGTTTCTTTTTCCTTTCTCCTTTTTACCAAACTCAAGGATCAGCTCTACTGATGCAGTACCATAATATTGTCTTCAGCTGTGCCTCTCTTTTGTTAGAATTTACCTTGTCATATGACATTTCTCTAACAGCAATAACAATCTCAGTAAAGGAACATTTATAGTTCCTATGATCAGAATGCAAGCAGCTACCCATGTTTTACTATACAAAGTGAGAGAGGTACTTTCAATTACTACACTGAAGTTCATCTTACCAAACTTAAAAAGAAAGTTGGATTTTCATATTTCCAGAACTAAACTACCAACTGTAAATGTCTTATTTATGGAGAGCCTTAATATTACCATTTAGCGTGAATCACAGCTCAATAAACAGCTATATTGCTGCTGCTGCTATGGGATGAAGGGTCCTACAACAGGGTGTATTTATTTACAGAGTGGTCCCACACTCAACACACTACAGGCATAGACATGGAGAGTGCAGTAGCAGTACTACTCATTTGTATTGCAAATCGTGCATTTGCATCCAACTATGCCATCAACTCTTGATACAAAACAGAATATCCATGTTCACATTATGTGCAGCTATTCTGTAAATTTATTTACCTTTTTACCAAGAGAAGTCACAGCACTGATTATACTTTTGATGCTGATTCCATCAGTGTCCTTGGGGACCCTTTATCCCTCTGACCTGAGGTACAATAAAACAGCAACACTCTTAAGAATACCACCTCTCTCAAAATTGGCCAAAGTAAGTAAAAAGTAATGCAGCCAGGAGAGGAGGGGGTGATACTTTGTTTTGTTGTAAGCTTGGTTTGGCACAAGAACCTTACAGTGTGTGTGTGTGTGTGTGTGTGTGTGTGTGTGTAGGGACACTACATGGCAAGCCTAGCCTAGTTCAGGATCCTACTCAGAAGCCAATACTTTCTCCAGCATATTGCACTGAAGCACTGTTTCGCACAGATCACGTTCCTAAAATGCCAGGATTTTTAAGTGACCCAGAGGTTCAGCAATCACAGATTGCAGTAAATAGTGCCTTTGCGAGTGGACCAGGCCAGAGACACAACCAGGGACAAGACCAGAAGAAACAAGAGAGGGAGATTGCTTTTTTTTTTTTTTTTGGCAATTATATAATCGAGTTCTCTCTATTGTGTGCTCTTCTCAGTCTGCTCATCCTCCTCCTGTGAGAAAAGTATTTTTTGCTCTTGTCAGTCTTGATGAGACTTTTCCGTAATAACTTTACATTCATACTGTAAGACAAACAGGAGTTAGGCATAAGTAGCTGATCTGTGAAAACAAATAAAAATGTACAGCTGAGAAAAGAGCAGAGCAAAGCAAATGGGTAGGTTCAACAAAGGAGTTTTCTTCTTCCCCAGGGACCCATTTTACCCCACTAATCCCCAGAACTGCAGTCTGAACATACAGTAGGCAAACCATGTGAATTTGGATTACAGGAATGGGCAGGGGTAGACAGGGATCGACCATTAGATTAGGAAAGAGATCAGAAAGGATTTCAGACCTTATCATGTCTAAAAATGTAGAAAATAGTGAGTGATAGAAATAAAACTTTGCAAAGAAAACCATAAATGAAAAAGAGGAGATGAAAGGAGAGATGAATGGACGGGGATCAGCCCCGGGAAATTTAAAATCAAAACGAAACAGCCTCTCTAGAAAGTAAAATTGATTTTAAAAAACCAGGATTTTTTTTAAAAAATGCAGAGACAACATGCATTTCAAAATTTAACATCAATTCCTGCTGTAAGATTGTTTAAAAGAATTAACCCATCCATTTTGAAACTGCTTTTATAATGATGGAAAATCTATTTATAACCAATAAATTAGATAATTTTAAAATAAAAAAGTTTATGTTTGTATGAACAAAGAAAAATAAGACTAGGTATTTCTAGAAAGGTTATTTATACTTAATAAACTAAACATGTAAGGCTGGATTCTCTTGCAACTACTTTTTCAATTTATTAGAAAGTTTTTATAATATTTTTGACCCACAAGAATGCTCATTTTTAATAAATAGTTAATACATTAAAATCATAAAACAAGCAAGAACCAAAAATAAATAATTATTTAAAACAAAATCATATTGAAATTCATTATAAGCCTTCAATATTTCGATAGGCCACTGCAGCTTTTATACCGCATCCAAAATGCAACTAGGAAGGAAGCACAAAAAAGTGGCCAGTCTCTTTTTGTAGTTTGATGTGTAATGAATACGCAACTCTGGAATCCAGAACATAGACAGATTATATTACACACACATATACACACACACACACACAGAGAGAGAGAGAGAGAGAGAGAGAGAGAGAGAGAGAGAGAGAGAGAGAGAGAGAGAGAGAAGGAGAAACACACACACACACACACAAGATTTAGATTCTTTCCTCCCTTCCCATCAATTGATGCAACCTAAACAGGAATCTCTAATTTACTGGTAATATTAATTACAAAGCCAAGGGATTGAAATGTTTAAGACAGGGGTCTTCAAACTTGAGCCTTTTATGACTTGTAGACTTCAACTCCCAGAATTCAACAGTCAGCATGCCTGGCTGAGGAATTCTAGGAGTTGAAGTCCACAAGTCATAAAAGGGTCAAGTTTGAAGACCCCTGATTTAGGACAAGGTCATGGCAACTGAAAAGAAATCATACTTCTCTCTTCAGGTGCAAGCCAGCCTAGTCTTCCCACATACTTCCCATCCTACTCAGAAATCAGGCTTTAAAACATGCTTCCTGTGGCATCAGTGAGCATCTTTTCATCAGAGAGGGTGGCCAGGTGATGAGCCTCAAGAATTAGCCTCATTAGTTGAGTTTCATCTTTCTCTTTAAAATAGACTATGTTCACATGTTAAACGCTCTGAACACTTCCCTATAATTGCATAACTGTATATAGAATTGTAATTATGTACTGTTAAAATGATATATTATACGTTTTTCTGTTTTATTTTTTTTCACTTTCAAAAAATGCATTGACGTATTCAAATATTGAAGGCTTATAATGGATTGTATGGGGTTTTTTTCCTTTGTCTTTGCCTATATGTTTTTTTGTACTTTTTTCCCTGTTTTGTCACTTTTTTAAAAAAGCAATAAAAGATTGAATAATTTTTTAAAAGAAGCTACGAATGCTTCTAAGGTTTATTTCTGAAGTGTTCAAAAGTTTAACTTTGGGGGATATTTCTGAGAATCAAGACTGTGCTTTGAAATAATGCTTGGGTGGAAACAGATAAGAGGTTATTCAAGCTCTATTTGTTTTATTTTCATTCGTGGAAATTCTGACTTCTAAAATTGAAAAATATTCCAAAGAATTCTTTGGAGTGTTTAATGCCATTCCCATGTCTAATTCAAGAGAACTGGCTAGTGAGTGCTGAGTTTCCTTAATGTTGTCAAAATTATTTGGATATCCTAAGGCCGGGGTAGGCAACCTTGGCTCTTTTATGACTCGTGGACTTCAACTCCCAGAATTCCTGAGCCAGCCATGCTGAGGGGAAAGGGAGAGTTTCCAAGCTGAGCCATGCTGGCTCAGGAATTCTGGGAGTTGAAGTCCATGAGTCATAAAAGAGCCAAGTTGCCTACCCTTGTCCTAAGGGGAGGAAAATCAAGGTCAAAGAGGTTAAACTACTTACAAGTATACTGCAAAAACACAGAACATTGAATTGCTAGCTTACCATTGCTAGCTGCCTGCCAATGTTTCCCATAGTTATTCCACCAGCAAAGAATATACAGGGCAACCAGGAACGGACATAAAGGAAGTCAGGAGATGTGTATCTGGAGAAAAAGAAGGGTTTTTTTTTTCTTTAATTAGTTGGCATCACAATGGCACCTTGCCTGAAGTATGATTTTGATTTTGAAAAAGACAGTAAAAAGCCTGAAGACTGCTGGGGCAAAGAGTGTTATGGATGATAGCTAGCTGTCTTTGTTACTGATTAAATTAAAAAAGAATTTTAAAAAGCAGAACTCTTCCGTGCATGTGCTTTCCTAACTACACCTTGGTCAGAAATTCTAAAATGGGAATTTAAAAGGCCAATTCAGAATATCTTGGGAAAACGGGGACAGTCCATATAAAAGCAGAGCGTTAAATGGATTTATTTCTGTTTCAGCTGTGATGTATTTGAAGCTACAGTAAAATTGCTTTAAAAGTGTGGCTCTATGTAGTATGTGGACAATTCTCTTCCCCATGGGCTTGACCTGAGCTCTTTAGCATCAAACCTTTTAATAGGAAGAGACAGCTTAATTGCTTTTCAGAGTCCCCCCCTCTCCAATTGGCTTGGAATTTATTTATTTAATGTATCACCAGATAAACATGAAGCAGGAATATGAATGAGGCTAAATGGATATAAACCAGGGGTGTCAAACTGCCGGCCCACGGGCCGGATGCGGCATGGCAAAACTGCACCCACCCCATTTGCTGGTAATGGAAAAAAAGTTGCAATACGTCATGACACATCATGCGATGTTGCAAGTTTGACACCCCTGATGTAAACCATTCATTTAATTAACCTTTTGCATTTTTTTTAGCACAGTGCCAATAGCATCCTTGCCAAGGGGAGGTGGAGAGTGATCCACAATTTTTTTTCCTTATTCTTAGCACAATGAAACTGGAAGATTGAAAGTATATTGCAAATAATCTTCACATTGCTGATTAGGAAGGAGAAACAGAGGCAGTGTGAATGGGCCTGCTTATAGTTTTTCAAGGCAAACCTGAGCTTTACTTTCAACCTGGGAAGCATAATTATTAGCATTTAATTGCACAAGTAATTTCATCCCCAAACATCAAGGCATGCAGTTGCAAAGGCAATAAACAATACAATCAACTTCTCCCTGCCATAAATATAACATGCCACTTAGGTCACATTTGTTCCAATTAATTTTGTTATGTTATTCCTGTAATAAGGCATGGCATTTTTAAATTTATAACCTTGTCAGATGCTGTCTTTAAAATCCAAATTAAATTAATAAAAATTTTATATGCATAAAAATACTTACTGATAAACTCCATTGTAGACCAAAAGCTGAGTCACCAAAGTGGCTAAAAATGCAATTCCTATTCCAAGTCCAAAACCACTTCGAGATCTATCAAAAGTCCACCAGAGCCCCACTGAAAGTGCAGCAAGCGTGAGAGACAACTGAAAGTTGTTGGCAAAATCCACTTTCTGTTTGTTCTGTTTAAGGAGTGTTTTGAGAAGACTGGCAGCAAACCAATTGCGTTGTTTCTTTTAACCTTAAAGAGACAGGCTGAAAGAGACCCAAAGCGAGGCTAAATATTACCCCCATCCAGACCAATCTTCACAGCATTTTCAAGACTGGTCCAATGATGTCCCCCCCAAAATTTTTTTCCCCCGTTTAAGTGAGCATGCAAGTTTAGTGCTCTTTTTGTAAACTGAGTTCCTCTGGATACCAACCTTATATATATATTTTTGGGGTATAAATTCATGCTTCTTCACAATTCTAAATCTTACATTTTAGTGTTCCTGGTTATTTTATAATCAATGTATCTCAGCCTGTGTTGTATTTTTACTATATTGATTCAGGATGTTTAAGGAAAATTCTCTGAAAATGGCACAGGGATTTCAGAAAAGTGATTTCCTAACATAATACATAATGATAGGTAACCAGCTTGGGAAGGACTTAAAAGGAAAAGTGTATCAATAGCTTTTAGGCAAAGTGAACCATTATTTTTATTATCAGAGACAGCAGCAATTTAACATCAGTTAATAATAGAAAGGCAATGGCTGTACTTACCCAAAACGAAAACAATTCTGATTTTAAACAAACTTTCCTCATTTCTAAAACCTTGGTTTGCCAATTCTAGTTAAAAGCAATTCTTGAAATTCCTTCCCTACAAATGTGTGCACACAGTACATCTGTGTATGTATTTGAATGTTCACTTTCTGTGCATACATAGATGCATATTTTAACTATGACTAACCTTGAAAGGCAAACCTAGTTTTCAGCAACAATGTATGCACTTCTATCCCACTCATTTGTGGCCAACCGTATCTTCCTAAATTCCCAAGCTGGGGATAAATGGTCTTACTCTTATGTAAATAGAGTGATAAATTTATTGCCATAGGGGGAAATGTCCTTGCATTCAACCTTAATGAAATTAAGAGGGCTGTTTGGTTTTATTTTCTGATCCACCTGAAGTTTGCCAACTTTCATTACGGTACAAAAGGATACAGCACTGGCATGATTTATGCCAACAAAGACTGCTACGCATCTCATCACGCTGGACCACTCTCTCTTCAATTTATGAGGTTCTCCCAGATGTCTATCCATGCATGGGTACAATAATCCAATTACAGCTGTAAAATACAAACACAGCTAACAAGGAGTATCAACAGTATAATCGCTCTTCTGACACCTGATGGGTTTAAGTCCTTTTCAAGTGAACCTGTGAGGTAAATTTCACCGAGTTCAGCGAGAATAAATGACCCAGGCAAGTCACTTGGCACAACAGCCTCATTCAGAAAGCTTTTTAAAAAAGCTTTTTAAGGGCTGAAGGGTAGGAATATGGAGAACCTACCATTCCATTTCTCCTTCAAACCACTCAGATTATTGCCATTTCTAAATGATTTGATGACTTTCCAGAAGTTACTTGTTTGAATGAGAAGTAGCAATTTAGAATATGACAAACTACTTCCACCTGAGACTAATTTCTAGAATGCTATGCTTGGAATGGCAACAGAGGAGAAACTTCTACTGTTTTTCTGGAACAGTGTATTTTGAAAAACCTAATGAAGAACTACTGATGACAATGATAATATACACACAATTCAGAGTCTTTGTTTTAGAATTATAAAAGTTAGGAGAAATATTAAAAATTAATCCTATCAGTATAGCATATTCAAAAATCTTGGATTCACTCCAGGAAAAAGGAACTAAAAAAACCGGAATTGAGGTACTTTAGAGATCCAAATCCCTAATTACAATTTTTTTCCAAGTCTACAAATGTAAAAAATGATTCAGCCAGATTTCACAGACAATTCCTTTCAAGTTACTCTTTAAACTCTATGGTGCATTAACTTCATGAAAAGGAAGCAAATAAAGCATTTGACACCAAATACTTCCTTTGAAAAATACTTTTAGTAAAGAAAAAAAAATCACCAGTTTGATAAATAAACAATTGGTAAATTCATTTCAGGCAAATATTCTTAATTTTTGAGTGGTTTGCTATCAGTAGAATCTTCTATTAATCACTTTTGCTGATTAAAACATCTTACATAACAAATTCATCAAAGTATCAAATGTGGCTTTCTTTTCTTTTTTTGAGAGGGAATAAGAAGGAGAATGTTTTTTTTTTATCCAGACTTTTTACTGAATGACAAGGACATATAATGCTATCAATAAATGGCATTGCACAATTCCATCTTTTCCTCTTTAGCTGATATTGACTGCTAAGAAAAAAAGATGGAATTAGTGGGAAGTACAGAAGCCTCATACTTCCCTTAATCTGGCACAAAGCATACATAATTTTAAGGCGGAGCGGGAGACAGAGAATATAGATTCTGACCACAGGCCTGAAGTTTTTGATGGCCTGGATTAAGCTGACATTTTTCTTAATGTCTTTTAGCATCATTATTCTGACATACCTGATGCTGTGCCGCATCCAAGGGGTACCCACCAAGCTGAAGAAAAGATGCTTGTAATCACATCCGGTGGAAATAAGGTGACATTTCTTTGTATCTGAAGCAAGTTTAATATTAATGCAAGAAGGACTCCAATTAAGAACAGGACTATCCCACGAAGGACCAGGTTCAAGCTGTGGCTGGTGATGGAAGAAATGTATGGACCACACCTTTTGGGTATGGATGTTTGAACATCAACATCTGCCATGGCCTCATGTGTTTCCAACAATATTTAGAACAGAGACTTGAAGCTAGAGAAGGACAAAGAAAAACTGAAATAATCCTGTTTCTTTTCATTCAGGATATATCCCAAGGCCTTGGGATATATATAAAAAAAAAACCAGGAAAATTACAGGACAATATTTTTATTCACATGTTTACATAAATAAACATCATGGACTACATACAAAAAATAAGAGTTTGGAAATTCTCAGAAGTCATAATCCATTGGTTGCTTTATTTATATGCCTTTAAACACTACTTATTTTACAGAACGAACCTACTCAGACAGGTCAATACTGCTGGCTACTTTGTAACCATTGCTCTATTCGTACTTTGATCAGACTTCATAAGATTCTAGAATCGTGACTATTGTATGCTACCTAGAATAACTTCTTATTAGATAGGCAGCTCTATAAATTTGATAAATAAATAAAATTTAGGATGATTTTAGTAAGTTAAAGATAAGTATATATTTGTTGTATATGATATGCTCCAGCCATTAATATTCTTTAAATTATTCTGGCAATGGAAGGAAGCATACATCTTAATGGCAGTGTGGACATAAAACTTCAGAACTGCTAGTCGCAGTGGTTATAGGTACACTGGGTGCCACACCCTAAAATTTTGAGTCAGTACTTAGAAAATCTGTGCACTGACAAAACTTCCATCTGTCAATTATGAAAGGCCACACAGCTTGGATTTGCTCATACACATACAATGCCAATACATTATGATATCATAGAACCTGATGTATATGAAGGCCAACACCAGCTAAAGAACTGGCAGCTGTGATTTCATATTTTTATGTGCAAGTAGTCCTACATTCAAGTGACTGATCAAAGTTACAAAAGCACTGAAAAAAAGAGACTTATGAGAGTTTTTCACATTTATAACCGATGGATGCAGCATTCCCACGGTCACATGACTAAAATTTGGACGCTTGGCAACTGGTTTGTATTTATGAGGGCTGCAGCGTTCCAAGGGTCATGTGATCAATTGACCCCAGAGATTTGCTCATTGAGAGATCTGTCACTATGGTCACCAAATGTTATCAGTGAGTTGGAAACAGAATGGAAAAGAAGCATATAAGGAACTTCCAAGGAGGTAGTAAAGATTTGAACATGGTTCTTTCTGCAAAGCCAATGAACGTGATCGAAATAGGAGCTGGTGAATGAATTGGCTCCTCTTTCTGGATTAAGGAGGAGACAAGGATTGCCCATGTTTGGCTCCATACAGAAATCTCTCCATACAAAGAGATTGCAAAACAGTTTTCTCCAGTAGGACTAATAAGTATTTACCTTGACTAACATGCGGTTAGGCACCTTACAAAGTGATGACTGGGTTTGCCTACTTCCTCTCTTAACTACTTTAGAAAGCCGCTTATTACTGATTGGTTTGGAGTTAAGAATCTTCCAAAGGGCAAGCTGTATTATGTTACTGGGAAAATGTTCTACCCTGGATGAAAGAAGCTCCAATATAAGCTTAAGGATTAAAAAAAAAAGCTTGACTTTTTTGGAAATCAAAAAAAAAGGGGGGGGGGACTAAAATGTGGATCTCGGAAAATTAAGAAGATAGACTTTTAGAATATTTCCTGTGAGATGTTTAAACATTTATAAGGGAATAAATTAAGTTTAAAGGAATTAATTGTAAGAACTTCTCCCATGAGAGTTTTGTTGATTGGAAAATAAACAAATAATAAGAGGTGCCTAAAGGCGTTCGCCTTTAGGCACTTTATTATTTGTTTAATTTCCAATCAACAAAATTAAGGCACATTAATACAATGGAGCAATATTGTTTGATTATAGAAGAAATTAAGGCTCTTTGGGGAACAACATATTTAGAAATTACTTACAAGATTGTTTGATATTATAGCAGAGGATAGAGAAGAAGAACAGATTTTACTGAATTAAACATACTGGTTTGAATATAGATTTGAGTTCTAAAAAATGCTGATTACAAAAGTGATATGAAAAAGAATGCTGTGCAACTGAAAATGGATTTAAAAATGCCAGAGTGGAAGAGTGATATAGAAAACAATGCCAAAATGGATTTACAAATGAAACCTGTTTATATCTTGGTAATTAAGAAAGACACATAAATAATGAATCAGAAGAGTGACTTGGAAAGCCTTCTTATATTGGATTTGCAAAAGGAATGTGTGAAACCATGGAAACTCTTTCCAGCAGGAGATAAAAAGAAACTTCTAAAACTGTTCTGGAAAAGAGACAAAGAGAAAATGATAAGGAATCAACTTGTGGAACACTATTCCATGGGACTAAAGATCAAGCTTCTCAAAAACAAAAAGGCTTATAAAGTGAATCTGTTTGATCAGAGTTAAAATATATGTGCTGTGGTTTCTGGTAGCTATTAATGGGATTTCTTTTTGACCAGGAATTGAATAATGAGGCTTTAAAAATTTATTTATAAGTGGAGAGAGGTTTCCTTTGCTTTACTTTTTACAGAATGTGATAAATTTAGATTATACTATTGATTTTTTTTTATTAAGATTAAAATATATATGTTAATATTTTTGGTAGCTATTAATAGATTTTTGCTGATTAGGACTGAATGATGTGCTTTTGCAATTTGATGATGGATAAGGGGTAAGATATGGAAAAAAGAATTTTTTTAAAAAATTGAAATACTAGAGAAGGATTATCTATTATTTATATTTGTCTGTTGGGATGGTGTGAGTCTGCTTTGATATATTTCCTTTTCTTTTTTCTCTTTCACCTTTTTCAGTTTTTCTTTAGTTTGTATTCAATTTTTATCTCTATATTTGCAAACTTTTAGGAAAATTATTGTAAAAAAAGAAAAGCAGCAGATAGGAAAAGAAATAGTCAGTCACTCATCCTCCAAATCAGAAACATTGTATTAACTCTGGCACAGAAGTAAGTTTTGAGGACATCAAAATAAGCTCAAATATGCTCAATGTCAATGTTGCTAACATCGGATGTTCTTGCTTGACAATATATGAAGATGCAGACATTGCATCGCCTGCAAAGGTCTCCCATCTGCCCAACGACTGACCAAATTGTTCCCGGAACATATCTACCGGCTGCATGGCGCCCCTACGGGAATAATTTCGGATGGTGAAGTTTTGGAAGAGCTTTCTTAAATTAATTGGATCATCTCAAGGCTTATCATGTGCTTTTCATCCAACTACCAATGGGGCTGCAGAATCCGCTAACAAAATGATGGAGCAATAGCTCAGATGCTACGTCTCCTACCAACAGACAAACTGGACTGACCTGCCTTTTGCCAAAGTGGCTTACAATAATTCTGTGCACAGCAGCACCGGTTACACACCTTTCAGAGGAGCCACAGGAAAAGAGTTCAGCCCAATACCTGAATGCCCTCAGGTGCCCTCCGCTTCCCGACTCTTGACCAGTGGGTGAGGGGGTGGGAAGAAGTTTGGAGAAACACGAAAACTGCTTTAAAAAAGACTTTTGAAACCTATAAAAAGCAGGCTGATAAAAAGAGGGCTCCCCAAAGAATATTCCAAGTTGGAGAAAAGGTTTATCTGTCAACTAAATATTTACACCTCAAATTGCCCAGCATGAAATTGGGACCAAAATCCTTGGGACCTTTCCCCATCGTAAGGATCATCAACCCCGTCATAGTAGAATTGAAACTCCCTAGGCTTTTAGGGAGGATTCACCCTGTCTTCCATTGCAGTTTGTTAAAACCTTGTCGAGGCTCCACCTTAAGACTTCCCCCTAAGGAGGCCCCCAGGCCCCTCATAGTTGTGGGACAGACCCACTATGAAGTGAAACGTATTCTTGACTCTAGAATTTTTAAAGGGAAATTGCAGTACCTAGTACAATGGAAGAGATACCCGTTGTCTAAAGCCACCTGGGTAAAATCCAGTGAGGTGAAAGCTGACAGACTCGTCAAAAGGTTTCATGCGAAACATCCCAACAAACCAAGGAATAATCCCTGACATATGCTTTTGCTCACATTCAGGACCTATCCTTTTTGTAAGAGGGGCCGGATGTCAACACTGTTAATATTGGATATTATTGCTTTGACAAGATATGCAGAACTGTCTGGTATTTTTAGAGTTAATTCAGATGATGGTGGGGGGAGAAAGATAAGGACTGTGGGGGAAGGGAACGGAAGTGAATCTTTGCCCTCCAGGTTGATTGGAAAATGTGAATGATGACTGCAAAAAGAGGAGGGGAATAGCCTGGAATGTTATGTGCAAAGGAATGGAAATTCAGATCTTGGCATCCATCCATGTAGTACCGACACTCTGTTACACTGTAATAAAGGCTTTCTAGAATAAACAATGCCTAGAAGTTCTTTGAAGTCTTTCATTAGTTGGAGCCTTGACAACATGCCAAGATCATGCAGATCCTGATGACCCTGGGGTAAAGAAAATAAAAAAAGAGCTCCTCACCGATCAATGGTTCAAAGATAATCAAACCTCCCTTACATGCAGGGATGGCTTGGCTTACAAAGGGAGGACACTATATTTGCCTGAAGCTCTCCGTCTTAAGGCTCTCAAATACAGCCATGAAGTAAAACAGGCTGGATACTTTGGATATTTAAAAACTCTACACTTCATCCGCCAGCAATTTTGGTGGCCTGGGCTGAAACAGGATGTGAAAAACTATATAAAGAGTTGTACTGTATGTGCCACAAGGAAAAGAATCCCAGGGAAAACCCCTGGGTTACTGCAGCCGATGGCAGACCCTTCTCAACCCTGGGAAGAAATAGCTATGGACTTTGTAGTAGACCTACCTGAAAATAGAGGAAATACTGTCATCTGGACTGTGATAAACCTGTTCTCGAAGCAGGCTCATTTCATCACCTAAACTTCTTAGAGGTGTAAGCACAGGGTTGCAGAACCCCACTTTTGTTCTTTTGCAGTAATACAGCTACAACTGCCACACTCAAAACCTAATGACTGGCAGATGGCTACTTGGGAGCAAGACTTCTCCGCTGTAGCTCACCTGAATGGAATTCCCTGCACAAATATGTTGTCCCATACACCATCTGGTCAACAATGGTAAAGAGTCTTTTTGTTCCCTTAAGTAAGGGATAGGCAACCTTGGTTCTTTTATGACTCATGGACTTCAACTCCCAGAATTCCTGAGCCAGCAAGTTGAAGTCCACAAGTCATAAAAGAGCCAAGGTTGCCTACCCCTGCCTTAGGTCTTCTTTATTTTCCATTTTGGGATCATCTAACTAGTTTTTTGGATGGGGAGGGAACTCCTGGATTTTAGGCCAGATCCACATGTGTTGTTAAGCCAAACTATAATTTCTCTGAACCCAACAACTGCTCTTATTTTTATAACTGCATGAGTCCAATCAACAAACAATACTTTAAGAAAGCATTTCCAGTGAGATGTGTGAATGCAGCCTGGCTCTCTACCACTTTTAGCTGATATTTTGAGTTTACGATTTTTCTACATTATGTACTAATTTTTGATGTATTGTTATTATATATTACACAGAGAGCATTTATGACATAGCAAGGGTGGGCAATTAATTTTAAAACCAGACCAGCACCAGTTCCCTTCTGCACATGGGGGAAGAGGGGACATCAGTGCTGCACTGAAAAAGATTTGATAAAGATTTGAACTTTTCTCCATCCCAGCACTGGAGTTCTTCTCCCCTCCATGCACAGAAAAGTCTATCCCAAAATCCATGGAGCATTTACAGCCACCCTCCCAGAATCACGAGGGAATTCTCTCGTTTGTTGCAACACTCTGTGCCAAAATCTGGTTTTTCAGCCAGCCCCTAGGAACCAGAGGGGGAAGCCAGCAGGAAATATTGCAGATGGAGATCATATGATCACAGGGCACTTGGCAACATCCAGATTGTAATCACATGGCCGTGGGGACACTGCAACGCCATAACCTTGGCCACTGTCATTTTGAATGGTCATTAAATGAAGATTACCTGTATTCAAATATAAAAAAGAAATGGTATCCAAACAAACAATAACTTCCTGGAACTGAATGGCAAAATTCTCTTCCTAGACACTTCTTTTTCCAATTTGTCATTCAATATGCTTGTTCTACATAGACTCAGTATCTGGCAGTTCAGTCATCAGGAATGTTAAAAGAAAAAAAAACTATACTGTTTTATACATTCAGAATCTGCCTACCGTTTGCATTTTAATATTCTTATTCTTGAGCAAACAGAATAGACGTTGCAGCAACAGCTTGTAAATTTCCCTTATACAGTATTATTTTCCATTCCACAAATGTTCACAATACGTTGAAGTATATGCAGATATTGAACATTACTACTAACTCAAGGTTCTGTATCTTATTTACCAGAGAACTAAAGTAAGCGTCTGCAAGCTGCATTTTTTTTTACTTTTTACATATCTAATAATTCTTATCCAGCTACATGGAAAATACTGCTGCAAAAATTTTGGAGCTTTTGGACAGTTAGGAATGCTACAGGAGATACAGGCAGGAAAAAAAAGGCTGCAGAAATACAAGAAAATGTTTTAAAAAGTGCAAAATGCAGATTAAAAAAAATCAGTTTTGAAATCTTGGGAGTTCAAAATAAAAGTGGATATTATATGTTCAAGGCTGAATATTACAAAGCAGAAATGAAACAGATATACAACTGTAGTTTAAAATCTGTTTTAAAATTTTCAAGCAAGTTTTGGCTGTTTAAGATCTAATCTACTGGTCCGATTTAAGAATGAATGCTTGGGGTGGGGAAGTGGAAGAAATATATATACATATATAACCTGTATAATTTTAATTAGTTTTTCAGTCTGATTGGAGGGTATATTATTTATTTGAAGGACTTATCATGAAATAAATGTGTGCATCTGTAAGGCAGAGATAGAATTGAAAAGAAGGAACCTGAAATCCTGAATGACAATAGACTGCTGTAGCTTTCTTTTCAGAACATTGTCTTATAGGTGAGCTCCAAGATAAGGATCTGCTGCAGCTGTATATTATTTCAGTTTCTATTCTTCAGTTAGAAAGAAAAAAGGAAAGCTCTGGAAAAGACACAACTGTAATTTTAGCCCAACAGCATTTTACAATGAGAAAAAATAAAATAAAATACCATGAAATCTGAATTATACTAGATCTGTATAATGTATCACAAGATACAGGGTGTAGAAATCCTTATGTTGTAATGTTTTTAATCCATAATGAACCCTGAAAAAATGCCATTTTAATCAAAAACATATTCCTAGGCATTTCCCAGAATTAAACAAAGCATTTCTTTTCAGTCCAATGAAGGAAAGACAATGCTTAGTTTTGCTTTAATTTGTCAAGGTTACACTCTATGCTGCAAGCATTAAAATGTACTGAAAGAGTAAAGGAGCTTAATCAACACCTTCCTGTAATTGCTAGAGTTACTTTCTTTGGTTTACATAGCACAAATCCATGAAAAGAAAGACATTTGCTATTAACTTCAAAACATACTGGAATTTTAGAACCTATTGTTAAAGCTGCTTTGGGCTAAAGAAAAAGGGGGGGAAGTTCAGAAACTTTTTACTATAGCAATTGATAATTTTAAATGATTTTCACTGTGGTTTTGGCCCAATAAAATACATATGGTGTCCTCTAGATTTATTAAATTTAAAACTTATTAGTTTTAAAATGTATTAAAATTATTTATTAGTCTCCAAATTTCTAGCTGTGGCTTGGGTTTTTGTAAAATAAAATCCAAAACAAAGAAAACACCAGACTGAGGAAAGCATTTATTTTGTGGGTTTGTATGTGTGTCTTTGATTCAATATGGACTCCTTCCGTGGGAAGTTTTTCAAAACTGGTTTGCCCTTGCCTTCTTCTTAAGGCTGTCAGAAAATGACTGGCGGAACAAGAACTCAGTCTCCTAGTGTCAGTCCTATAGGTTAGACCAGGGATAGGCAACCTTGGCTCTTTTATGACTCGTGGACTTCAACTCCCAGAATTCCTGAGCCAGCCATGCTGAGGGGAAAAGGAGAGGTTTCCAAGCTGAGCCACGCTGGCTCAGGAATTCTGGGAATTGAAGTCCACAAGTCATTAAAGAACCAAGGTTTCCTACCCCTGGGTTAGACCATACCAAGAAATAGGCCCCACGCCAAACTACAAATTCTTTTATTAGAATGGATATATTAACAAAATCTAAATATAGTATGCTTCCCCAACTCCCTCTTTTATCTTCCTGGGAATTGGGAGGGAGGAGGGCAGTTGCCTATCTGAGATGTTTTCATATATTTCACTCTTATGGCCTTAAGCCACATTTAACTGTTTGTTGCATTGATTTTTCTTTAAGTCTGGTGCCTTAACCACTACAACAAACTGGCTCTTGGGATTACATTTATTAATAGAAATTTAAGATTATCGTAACCAAAGTTTATATTTTGCTTGCTACTTTATAAAAGAGTGCCATTTGAGGAAGATGGGGGAGGGGATATGAATATGATTAATAAATAAAATGAATAAAAGCAACTTAGAGATCAACAATGGTATTTTAAACTTTTACATTTAATAATCAACAGTTGAATGCTATTACACAATTTATTCAATCTTTTCTTCATTATGAAAGCAAATTCTGAGGTTATTTATTGCTTGTCTATAGGAATAGATAAGCAAATAAAAGTATCTTTTGAAGCAAGCTGGATTCCTGATGATATCCATGTCTTTCTCTCTTTCTCTCTCTCTCTCTCTCTCTCTCTTTTTTTTTTTTTTTTTTTTGCATTACAGAAGTATCTGCTTCTAGAATTTCTAGGTTTTTTTTCTATTCCCCAATACTTAAAGCCCAGACTTCCTGTTAAAATACCAATAAGATTCAACTATGCTTAGGGTTTGTTTGTTTGTTTTAAATCAGCCAATGTTGACCAGGTACTATTACCACAGTGACAATAAGGAAAGCCAAATTCTTTCCATAGTATCAGCCAATTGCATCACTTGTACCTTTTTTGTTTGATTAATAGGGTTAGAGCAGGAGTAGGCAACCTTGGCTCTTTTATGACTCGTGGACTTCAACTCCCAGAATTCCTGAGCCAACTGGGAGTTGAAGTCTGGGAGTTGAAGTCTAGGAGTCATAAAAGAGTCAAGGTTGCCTACCCCTGGGTTAGAATAACTGGAAGGAAGAATCATAAATATGTATGTCAGAGTTTATGGTAGTATAGTGCCAAGAATTGATTACCTACTAATCAATCAAAGCATTATTCCATGTTAACTCTAACCAGGCAGTCTTTGTTTCCTTGGTACCAAGATATGCACAGCACTATCAAGTTAAGACCATTCTAATGACTTCATGTCACACTGCTGGGCATAGTTGTTGAGTTCTGGGATTTGTGCTTTTTAAAACATTCATGTATATCCATACACTTACTCCACTGTGTATGCTCTAAAATACAAGTCTTATATTTCTCTGAGCATCCTTGACACCAGTGTCCCAGACAGGAACAGGCCTCTGGATATGGTTTCAGACAGTATCTCTGCTTCTCATCTTCAAACCTTCAAACTAATTTACCAGGCTTTAAACAGTAATGTTTAAAATATTTAACCCCATTTAAATTCAGCATCTTCTTTCTCAGTTAACATTTAAATTACTAATGTGCTCCTTCCAGACAGCGGAATACAAAAGAAAATGTGAAATATGATCACTACGGACCATCTAACAATTGACACAGAAGTTAATACTCCTAAGGAATTACTGAGGCAACTAAAAATAGATTGTTGAGAAAACAGACAATGCTTTATGTATGTTACTAAGGCTGGAATCTGAACTTCACAAACCTAAATGAGTTGTCATCAAGAGACCATCCCAGTCACTTGCCCTGACTGATTCCATTCCTACCACTTTTAGCATTTCAAACAGAAAGCATCCTGATCAGCAAAATTCCCCTAGTTACTTACCATTTGTTCAATTTAGTTGCATATTTGGAAATGTTCTGCTTGCTAAAAACAGGTATTGTCACTTTCAATTTTCACATGCAGAAGCAGGTACCCTTTATATGAACTGGCTTTTATATACTTTCTGTGTTGTAATTATTATGTTAATATCATTATTCAGAATTGTTGCATTTATACATCTGATTACATCTTTAGTTAAAAAAAAACATGGGTTGTAAAATCAACTGAACTTGAAGATCCAATGTGGGAACAGGCAACCTTCAAATCTGGGTGTAACATTATTTTTTTGCTTATATTATAATAGGTACTCCTTTTGTAATCAGCTTGCAATACCAGTAGTTATGGGCTTATAAAATAATTCATACAAAAACAAAACAAAGTACCAGACTTCAAATTCCAGGTGTTCACTATGTGATAAATTCAACTGTGACTCGCTTCCATATAAAGAATTATCCTAGCTGATTATTAGGACACAACTGAGTTATTCAAATGTATTAGATGCCATTTTGATATTTTTGACACTGCCAAAAATTTATTAGCTAATACATATAAGCATTAATTTGCTATTCTTATGCAATGCACTAATGTTGCACTAAGTTTGGTTGACTGCACAAAGATAAAGAAGAATTCTACTGTGCTGATAGAATTACTTAAAGCTCTCTTGTGAAAATATTTATGTAACGAATGGACTAAAAAAGTTTAAATGGTTTAGAACAGTGGTTCTTAACCTGGGTGATATCGCCCCCCAGGGGGCGATTTCGTTTTTCAGGGGGGCAATGGAACAAAAAGGGGCAACATGGGGGCGAAGGAACAAAAAGGGGGCGTTATGGGGGCGATGGAGCGAGAAGTTTTGGGGACACTTTTCATACTTTTTCGTACAGTGAATCGCTGTATATCTGTTGTACGAAAAAAACATCAGATTGCTCACTATTAGTGGATTAAATTGTGTTTTCAAATGTTCCTCCAGCTAGCTTCAGTACAGAATGCCAGACATATGTGAATACGCATCGCTTATCTTCATGCACGTTGCACAGCAGCCTCTACCCTTTTTATATTTCTTTTTGCGTCTTAAATTTCACTTGTAATTCAATCATTAAATGTTATTGTTTTTCTTTTTGGGCATTTCACTTTCTTGCAATTGAATTTTGTTTTCAGTGGTCATTACATTTAAGTATCTTGAATAAATAAGATAATAATGAAATACATGTATCACAAAGTTTGGGAATAAAGTGACGGGTGGCATCAAAATTTTTCACACAGTTGAGATATGGGAAAAAGACTGGAAATAAATTATTTGCATCGATATGTCCTGATGACAATTTTAAAGAAAACAAAACAAGTGTTTGCATAAATTGAAGAATTATTTCCTATGTTGTGATTGAGAGGTTATGTTGGGGGAGGGGGGCGATGACATCTTTCTCATTGGCTCAAGGGGGCGATTCATTCAAAAAGGTTAAGAACCACTGGTTTAGAATAAAGGTTTACTTTGCAATGCTGAACATTACATGCTCAAATATAGCATGAGTTGCAATCATATCACAAATGGTAAAAAAAACCTAATTTCTTAGCACAAAAACAAAACCCCAGGTGAATAGATATGCCAGATATCCTTGGCTAAATTCATACATGACACTAAACCATAATGTTTTATTTCACTGTTATTAAGCATGAAGTTACTGATTCAGTTTTGCACTCTATATTATTTCAATGTGTAGCAGAGCAAACAGCTCACTTTCTTGCAACCCCTTCCTCGCCAATCTCTCTTTTCTACAAGGGGGTGAAGAAAATCACAGATTAGGCACAGGGGCATGCATAGTGACAATGGCAATCACGTGACTGAAGGTGTGCTTTGAAGGTCATAAATAGTCAAAAAATGGCCTAAAGTTTTTTTTGTTAGCACTGTTGAAATTTTGAATGGTAACTGAATGAATGGTCGATAAGTGAGGACTATTTGTAAGTAAGACCTATCTGTAAAAGGAGAAGGCAGAGCAGACTTATTATATTTAATGACAGCCAAGTCATTAAATTATCATGTTCGTAATATGACAAAATAGAATGCCAGTGCAAAATCCACCTCAGGTCTAGGAAATACAGATAATTTATCCTAAGGCAGTTTCAACTAGTATCTGGCTGTAGTTCTAACACTACATGGTATTTAATAGTGCATGCTTTTAAAGTGCTACTAGTCGAAAAGTTAGTTTTTTGCTTCTCAATCATTTTATCCGTTAAATAAAAAGGCCAAATAATTGGTGATAAAACATTAGATGGTTACAGTTGAAAGATGATTATCTGAAGCACAATAAACAGAGTTTAAAGGGTCATTTTGTTTTATGTCTTTGACAAGGCATCAGACATTTCTATAAAATGAAGCACCACCATGCTTAAGCCCTGCAGTAAAGCTATTTTAAAGGCTTTGACAGCCTTTTTATTCATGTTTGCACATGCCCAGAAGACATTTCCATTGAAGTGAAGTGCCTGGGCAAAGAAACACAATCCATCTGAGATTTCTGGCAGAAGCCTAATATGTATGAAAAAAAGTACTTTTTAAAAAAATGTAGGGTAGGAAAAAACTCATTTTGGAAAGTTTTTTTTTTTTACTTCAAAAACCAATAAAAATAATTTTAGAAACAAACAAAACTTCTGAACAATTAAAGAAATCAAAAACTATAATGCAAAAAGCAGCCTTCTAGCTTCTAGCTTTCTAGCACGTAGGTCAACATGGAAGCAGTCTAGTATCAATGGCACGACATCCACATGGAGAGAAGTAAGCAGTGGGGTACCACAAGGCTCCGTCTTAGGCCCAGTACTCTTCAATATATTCATTAATGACTTAGATGAGGGAACAGAAGAGGAACTCATCAAATTTGCAGATGACACTAAACTGGCAAGAATAGCCAACACCCCAGAAGATAAGCTCAGGATCCAAAAAGATCTTGACAAACTGGAACAATGGGCCCTATCCAACAAAATGAGTTTTAATGTGGAGAAAAGCAAAGTTCTACATTTATGCAGGAAAAAATCAAAGGTTTAAGTACAGATTAGGTGAGGCCTAGCTCAAAAACAGCAACTGTGAGATGGACCTTGGAGCCCTTGTGGACGATCACTTGACCATGAGCCTGCAGTGTGCAACAGCAGCCAAAAAAGCTAATACAATCCTGGGTTATATAAATAGAGGTATAGAATCAAGATCACGTGAAGTATTAGTATCGCTTTATAAAACTTTAGTAAGACCACACCTGGAATATTGCAACCAATTTTGGTCACCATACTACAAAAAAAGATGTTGTAAAAAGTTCAGAGAAGAGCAACTAAAATGATCAAAGGCCTGGAGACTAAAACATATGAAGAATGGCTGCATGACTTGGGTTTGGCTAGTCTAAAGAAAAGAAGAAACAGGGGTGACATGATAGCAGTATTCCGGTATTTGAGGGGCTGCCACAAAGAAGAGGGCATCAAACTATTCTCTAAAGCACCAGAGGGCAAGACAAAAAACAATGGTTGGAAACTGACCAAAGAGAGAAGCAACCTGGAATTAAGAAGAAACTTCCTAACAGTGAGGTCAATTAACCAGTGGAACAGCTTGCCTTCAGAAATCATGGGTGTTCCAACACTGGAGAATTTTAAGAAGAGACTAGACAGTCACTTGTCTGGGATGGTATAGGTTCTCCTGCTTGAGCAGGGGGCTGGACTAGAAGGCCTCTAAGGTCCCTTCCAGCTCTATTCTATTCTATTCTAAATCACAAATGAAATCCTTATAGCTGCCTCTTTCCTTTCCCTTGCACTCCTATCCCAACTCTCCAGGACCTAAAGCAATGTATAAGGTTTTGTAAAGCAATTAGAACTCCTCAGATTAAAAGTGAAATACAAACACAAGAAATCATTCTATCTTGTTACAGGGAACATAAGTCAACCCTAAGGTTTAACGGAGACTGATCCTAACATTTACCAGATTTTTTCTCCACCTATCCATGAACGGGTAGAAAATTATACAGGTATAGAAACGGCTATTCCTATCCTAAGCTCTTTCCTTCCTCCACGCACCGTTTCAAATCAATGCAGTCAACTGATTTGTCTCTAAGAGAATAGGTGACAAAGCCTAACAGATTTCATACACCCCAAAGGTGTCTACTGATTATTTTGGAGTAAGGAGAAAAAGACAAGGACCTGTACAGCGAAGAGCAACTTAGACTACAGGTAGTCCTTAACTTACAACTGTTCCTTTAGTGACCATTCAAAGTTACAACACGCTGAAAAAAGTGACTTATGACTATTTTTCACACTTACGACTGCTGCAGCATCCCCATGGTCACATGATCAAAATCTAGATGCTTGGCAAGTGATTTATGACGGTTGCAGTGTCTTGGGGTCAGGTGATAAGCTTTTGCAACCTTCTGACAAGCAAAGTCAATAGGGAAACCAAATTCACTTAACTACCACTTAACAATTGTGGCAAGAAAAATCGTAAAATGGGGGCAAGACTCACTTAACAAAGGTTTCGCTTGGCAACATCAATGTTGGGATCAATTGTGGTCGTAACTCGAGGACTACCTGTACTGCATTCCTGAAATAAAGTCCACCCCCCAATTTGGGGGACCCTAACCCAAAGAAATCGGGCAGATGCGTGCCTTGGTGAGATCCAAGTGGGAAAAGGCAATTAAGATCATGGTCCTCGCCTTCTTTCAAGTAAGGGGCTTCTGTCTGGAAAGGCGCCGAAGAATAAAAATAAAATAAAAATCAGGAAGACAAACGGTGTTTGAGCCCTCCCCTCCGTAACTTCCAGCGATCAGGCACCGAGAAGGGATCCGAGGGCAAAAACCTCGCCTGAATCTCCTTGGAAAACCAGTTCCGAACGACGCTGCCGACAACTTTGATGAGGCCAAGCAGTAATTTCACTCTCCGGGATGACGCTGGCCTGTCTGCCCGAGCGGGCTTAGCTCTCCCGGGCCTCCTCCTACTCCGGCGTGCCTTCCCGAGAACCAGGGCAAGCCCATCCTTCTACCCATTCCAACTGCTACCTCCCCGAGAGACACCGGGGCTGCCGGACGCTTCCCCGACTTCTGCCATGCCCTTTCTTTCCCCTACGCGCCTTTCCTGCCTCTCCTTCCCTTTTCCCATCCGCACTCATCCGCGCCACCAGCCCATCCGCGAAGCGCCGAGCTCCACTCACTTTTTCTCCGCCATCTTCGCCCTTTCTGGGCCAGTCTCCGCCTTCCGCGCCTCCTCTAACCCGGCAGCGGCTCGCTTAGATCCCTGACTCCAGGAGGAAGCCACTTCCGCCGCGCCGCGGAGGCTGCAGGGAAGGGAAAGGAGCCGAGGGCGGAGAGTGGAGGAGGGTGCAGGAGTCCGGGCGTTGCTGAGCGTTTTGTACAGGCGGGTGCAGGAGTGCGTAGGTTTATTTTGCAGTTTCATTTAGCAAAAAAAAAAAAAAAAGCAGCTTTGTTTTTTTTTCCCGGCCATAGTAATGAACTGTCTTTAAAAATGAGGCATAAAGAGGCGGAAAACAAGAAGAGGAAGCAAGAAAATGTGGATTGTATAACACGTATTATCTAGTATTATAGTACTGTAAATATAATATTCCTATACAACACTGTTTATTAAACTTAAAAATTATGGAGCTTTTGTTTGTATAGGTTATATTTATTGCTTTTAATTTTTTTGTGCCCTTGCGTCAGTGTAGACTGGTGGCACAAGTCCCTGCAGTTTTATAGTTGTTGTTTCTTCTTCTTCTTCTTCTTCTTCTTCTTCTTCTTCTTCTTCTTCTTCTTCTTCTTCTTCTTCTTCTTCTTTCTTCTTCTTCTTCTTCTTCTTCTTCTTCTTCTTCTTCTTCTTCTTCTTCTTCTTCTTCTTCTTCTTCTTCTTCTTCTTCTTCTTCTTCTTCTTCTTCTTCTTCTCCTTCTCCTTCTCCTTCTCCTTCTTCTTCTTCTTCTTCTTCTTCTTCCTTCTCTTTCTCCTCCTCCTCCCTCCTCCTCCTAGCACATTGGGTATCAAGTGGTTTTGGCATCATCCTAAAAGATATCAATAATCTTAAGATCTTCCTTAAATGTTTGGTGCCAAGCTTTACAAAGCTGGCCTTGTATTCTCTTTTCTTCTAGGAAGTATATTTGGATGCCAGTCTTTAGGCATATGTAAGATACGACCAACAAGCTGCATTCAATCTTCATTCACAGTTCTTGATAGGTGTTCTAAATCTGATCTTTGTAGTACTTTATTAGTGATGTGGTCACGATATAACGCACAAAGAATTCTTCTCAAAGAGCGTTGCTGGAAAACATTTAACCTTGCCTTCTTCCCAGATTGAAATAAGATGTCTGGCTCAAGCTTATTTAGCTGGCTTTATGCCTAAGACAGGACTACAACGCATTCATGTGATTTCCAGGTTTCTAGCCTGGTGTCTTCACCACTATATCAACCGGCACTTTTGTTGATGTTTATCATTATTTTTTAGAAAACAATTGATGCATTTGCTGCTGCTACCACTAAGACCACACTTTAGGAAACATTACTGAACTGAATTGTTTCAGTCATTTGACTTAGCCTCCTGTTTTTTTCAAAAATTTTCAGGATTTGATAATAAAATGAAGGGAAACTCCTCCTATGGACTCCACTTTCAACTCTTGGAGGATGTGTAGTATAAAAAGGTCATCATTCTGACTTCATTTATTTTTGAATAACTCCCATTGTCAAAAATGCTGATAAAAACTGGATCGCCAACATGATCGCCAACGTCCGATAACAGATATGACACAAGAAGAAGTAGTTGAGCCACTATTTATCAGAAGTTCACTTAACATTTTCAATAAAGGTAAAGGTACACAAAATTAGAGACCAATAGGACAGCAGGGAAGACATTTGTATTGTAAAGCTGCTTATTGCACCTATATCTATGTACATTTTGGTGCTTTAGCTTCAGTTTAATGTATATTTATGTATGCACATAAACATAAATTTAAATACTGAATAAAGCCTTTGATTATATAAATATTATGGAAGTACCTAAATGGGATGATCTTCCCAAAACACTTGATTCAATTAACAAAGTCAATGCATAACAGCCAAGAAGGCAGACGATTTAAGCCAGCATAAGTATAGGACAGAAACATCTTAGAAATACCAAACATATTCTTTAAGCAAATTAGTGCTTTGGTATTAGCAAACTTGGGATCAAATTACTAAAAGAATGCCTTTTCTCATATTAATTTGCTTGACACTAAATAAAAATTGCTATTACAGTTGCTACTACTGATAAATAAGATGCATAAGGCAATATCAGGGATTTCTTTTTCATTAAGCAGTTTCATATTTTTGCTCTTAAGTGTTATAGAAACCAAATTGCTTAATCTAATTAATTGTTTTCAGTAGTTAAACACTTTGGATATTTATTTTGTGTATTTGTCGATACTGATACCGAAACTTTTCCCCATTAGTTTAAGGTTTATCCTAAACATTAGGATAAATAATTTATTTCATGCTTGAAAAATGCAAAGCAGAAAAACACTTCTAAACAAGAAGATACTAGCTCAGTGTCTTACTTGTTTAGTTATAGATCTACAAAATTGTACAAACTCTTAAGCCAGAAAAGGAGACTCCAAAACACTTTACAAAATTATATTGATTTTGCAATTAAAGCCGGAGAAAATTAAAAGACCTCAAATAAACAGAGCAAGAAACAATTAAAATATAACAAAATTGGAATTGGAGAATGTGAAGAAGTGAAGAAGTCTGTCTCACCAGGAGAGAAGATAACAGAATGAACTTGTTAATGAACATGATCCAAGCATATACAAATCTTAAAATAATTTTTCTGGTTTTTTGAATACATTTGGATTAATGACAAATGTGTTAATATAGACCTACTTGTATCTTTTGGAATTTCTGAAATTAACTTATTAATTTAAAACAAATTTTTCCTTATGAAAAAACAGCAGTGATTAACTGTGAACTGTAGTGCCCTAAGGCCCACTAAACTAATTCTCATGTGTTCAGATTCTCCTTGTTGTCTGTTGTCATTGTGACCTGACTGTTAAGCTTTCTGCTTGTTAACAAATTTTATGCAGACAAAAAATGAAAATTAGCAGCAGTTCTGTATTATTTAAATGATAAAATTATTCCGTTTGATTATTTCGTTGCTTTGGTGCCAACAGAAAAACAAAACTTCTGCACTTTGTTGGATGTGAATAACAGAGATAATATAATTCAAAGATTTAGTAGATACCTTGAAGCAAATGTGATTCTAGACTATTTAAAGCCAGTTTCAGCCATTTGAATGGACTAAATTACTTTGCAATAGTAACTTGCACATTTTTCACTACTTACTTGGAATACTGTAATGTGCTCTACCTGGGACTGCCTTTGAGAACCACTTGGAAAGTGCAATTAATGTATAATGCAGTGACCTGATTATTAGTTGGCAGTCAGTAACACTGGAACAAATTTAACCATTTTTTCTAGCAGACTTGTCAATGCTCATATCCAGAAAAAGTATTGGTGGTTCCCCACTTTTGTGAAGTGAAGGGGGATAAGGCCAGGAGGCATTTCTTCTCCATAATGACTCTGAAGTTATGGAATAGTCTTGGTTGACAAGCTAAAGTTAACCCTGTGTTGATTGCTTTCCAGGTGATGATGGAGCTATTCTGGAGAACTATAGATCAGGGGTCCCCAACTCCCGGACCATGGATCAGTACTGGGCCATGGCATGCCAGCAACCAGTCCGCACTAACAAGGAAAGCCCCATCCGCGATATGCAGGCAGCACACAAAACCACGCCCCCTCCGGTCCGCAGAAAAACTTCTCTCCACGGAACCGGCCCCTTGTGCCAAAAGGTTGGGGACCTCTGCTATAGATGGTTCATTGTGTAGACACTATTTATCTTATGATTGGTCTTTGAAGGATAGCAGCTTATTTAACTGATTTTATTTAACTGATTTTAATATTAACTTCAATTATCATTACATACCGTGGATGTTTTAATTTGTGTACTGCGGATGTTTGAATTATGTATCCTTGTTATCCTGGCTAACTGCCAAGAATCCTTGCAAATTACAGCAGTAACCCAATCTGATAAATAAAAATATATCTTTAAACGATTCTTTCCTCAGTGGTTTAGGAAAGTAAAAATATATAATGCCATACTTTTTTTCTGTATTCACAGTAACCAGTAAAGAAAAATAGAGTGATTAAATATTATATTGCACAATATTCCATTTAGTAAATATTAGAGTAATATTACTCATCCTGGTTTCCTCTAAATTTTTTAAGTTTCAACTTCCAGAAATCTTAACCAGTCTGGCTAGAAGAATACTAGAATTACACTTGCAGTAGATTCTGGAAGTCCAGTACAGCTGGAGGACAGTAGAAGATGCTGCATTTCAAGGAGAAAAGGCACATAAATAGCTGTAATTATGATGATCAGAACAATTCCCTTCCTCAAGTACCATTAACTTGTTGTTGTGAGAGAGCTTGTTTATTTTATGATACTAGGGATTATGCTGATAGTAGCTTATTTACTGGTAAGTTGAATTATACTAGAGAAGCTAGGAAAAGTTCAGAATATTTCAAACAAATTCAAAAACTTCTAAATTCAAAAATAAATGGTAAGGATACAATGAAAACCATAAATACATAGGCAACATGCCATTGGTATGGTAAACTGGACATAGCTTAAAGTGAACAATTTAGATTAGAGCATGGGTGTCAAATTGCTGGCCCGCAGGCCGGATGCGTCATGGTGAAACCACGCCCACCTCATTGCCAGCAATGGCAAAAAAGTCATGATACGTCGCAACACCTCATGTGACATTGCAAGTTTGACGCCCCTGGATTAGAGGATTTAGAAGCAAATAACAGTGCATCCATGAAATTGATTGACTATATATTTATTTATTGGTTTATTGAAGGTAAAGCAGACAGTTGAAAAAAAATGCAGATCAAATTATTACATCAAGGCAAGGGAAAAGAAAATGATCATCAACTTTTGCAAAAAACAAAAACCACCCTTCCTGAAAGTAGCAGCAGAATTTTAAAAGATGATAAAAGTCAACTATTGGAAAACCAAAAAATAAACTAGAAGTAAACCACTGCATGGGAATGCAAAAAAGAAACTGAACATAAAGTGGACAAGACCAGGAATTTGGAATCATTGCCAGCCGGCACTATCAAGAAGGAAACAGAAAGATTAATTTTCTGCATTAGAAACAAATGTGATGAAATCAAGATTGAATATGTTATGAAACAACTGTAAGGGCAGATTGTGTAAAGAAAAAAAAGATGAATTGCATAATTAATAGATACAGTAAAATTGCTCAGACCGACTATAGTTATTAGTTTAGTAGGCAGAATAACAAATAGGTAAACTTTTAAAAGAACTGAAGATTTTGCTGTATCAACTATGGAATATTTTGAAAAAACACTTTGTGAACACCTGTTATATCTTCATTCATTATTCATTACCTACATAAATTTCAAGGAATTTATTTATTTATTTGCACAATTTGGAAGCTTCTTGACTCCTGGCAATTCATAGTTTACAGCGACGGTGGTTTACAGGTAAAGTATAAAAAGCAGTAGAAGTATAAAAAGCAGTAAAAAAAAATCATGAAAAATCAAGAACAAAGTTTTAAACCCAAAACGTCCTTACTAAAGGGATCCATGTATCACCCTGCCCTGCCTGGGAAATAGCCGGGTATTTATAGCTGCATGTCATCCAGGTGGGAGCTCTCCTGATCTCTAGGGGGCATTGTTTCACAGGGCTTGTACCACAGAGAAGGCATGTTTCCTAGGTCTCACAAGATTACACTGCTTCATCTATGGCAGTGGTTCTCAACCTGTGGGTCGGGACCCCATTTGGGGTCGAACGACCATTTCACTGGGGTCGCCAAGCAATGCAGTCCGCCATTTTTTCCCCCTTTTCCTTAGCTGTGCTACTCCCTTTTATTCTATTGGCTTTTGAAAGCCAACTCCTGCTGGAGCTGCTGGAACGTGCTATATTGCATCAGCTGCTGCTAGATCTGTAAGTTTTGGGAGAATCCACCAGGAAAGTAGCTAGGCCCTGATTGGATCTCCATTATATTTATAGTGTATTATATTGTATTTAAACTCCATTTCAACTCCTGCCGGAACTGCTGGAACATGCTATATTGCATCAGCTGCTGCTAGATCTGTAAGTTTTGGGAGAATCCACCAGGAAAGTAGCTAGGCACTGATTGGATCTCCATTATATTTATAGTGTATTATATTGTATTTAAACTCCATTTCAACTCTTGCCGGAGCTGCTGGAACGTGCTATATTGCATCAGCTGCTGCTAGATCTGTAAGTTTTGGGAGAATCCACCAGGAAAGTAGCGGCCTGCGTGCCTAACGGTGCACGAATTATATAACTAAAAATCACAAACAGCAGCAGTACATTCAGGGCAGGTGTATCTGAGATCCCCTGTATCTAAGAATGTCTGGCTTAGTTCAGTGCAACACTTGCTTTGCAGCTGTCTTTCGCAGTACCCTTTTCAAACTTGGAAACTGTCCTATCTGTAAACAAATCACTAGCCTACAAGGACAGATCATTTACCTAAGGTCTGTAATCCGTGCTCTTCGGGCAGAAATTAGGTGTCCAGTTCAGCCCCTCTACTCTAGTAAGCCTCTGTGCTATCAGCCCCCTTTACCACAAAGATCCTGCAGACGAAGGGCAGTGTGGACAACCGTGAGTTCTGGCAGGGTGAGAGCTGTGAACCATAAACACCAAGCTTTCGCTATGTCCCTGCACAACAGTTACAGTGCCCTTGCTGACCTTAATAGGGACATTAAGGAGACAGGTAAAGGTATTTGTGAAGATAACTCAAATAAGCAGGGGATTGTGGTCCGAGATGAAGAACTAGATTTCGACAGGGAGAAGTGGGAATCAGGTATTGCACATCAGTCATGCAAGAACAGAAAGGCACCCAAAAAGAGAAGCTACCTTCTGGTAGGTGATTCAATTATAAGGGATGTAAATTTAGGAAAGGACACAGAGGCTTCGAAAGAGGTCAGGTGTCTTCCAGGTGCTACTGCCAGTAGGGACAAGAAGCGTATTTCTAAAATAATCAAGAATGGCAGCAAGGACTGTGATGTGGAGGCTATTGTACATCTTGGCACTAATGATCTGTCCCAAAAAGATGTACTCTCTGTGCAGAACGATTTCCAGAGCTTGGGGAAGGAACTTAGCAGAATAGGCTGTAGGCTTACTTTCTCAGAGGTTTTACCAGTGTATAAGGAGCAAAACGGAAAAGGCCAGCGCATAGCACAATTCAATATGTGGCTAAAGGAGTGGTGTAAAGGGGAAGGCTTTGGATATATTAGTCACAATGTCAGTAGCTGGTCCAATCAAAAGATGTACAAAAGTGATGGTTTGCATCCATCAAAAAAAGGGACTGAGTTACTCGGCTATAAATTCACAGATTTTTTGGAGGGAAATTTAAACTAAACGGGGACAGGGAGTTAATTGATACGGAACAACCCAATTTAGAAATTATAGGGCTATCAGTGTATATAGCATAGATGTGTGTGTGGACAAGAATACCAACCTTGCTATCAAGCAAAATGAAGTCTCTAATAGCGAGTGCCACACAAAGTGCACTAACCAAATAGGTGGTAAAACAATATGGGAACTCAGGCACCACACAGGTTATGTAGAAAGGAAACACAGGGCCACTCACAAAGGACTCAAATGTTTATACACCAATCCACAGAGTATGAACAGCAAACGGAGAATTAGAAATTCAGGTTAATGAGGGCAGATATGATATTGTTGCCATTACGGAAACGTGGGATGAAACCCACACATGGAACACACAGCTAGAGGGATTTAAATTATTTAAAAGAAACAGATCAAATAAAAGAGGAGGTGGAGTTGCTCTCTATATAAGAAATAACAACATCTCTACAGAAATAGAACACAACAATGATAAAAACTGTCTTGAATGCATTTTGGGTCAATATAAAAGGGGGGGGGAAATGACATTGCCATAGGTGTATACTACAGACCACCCAACCAAACAGAGGAAATAGATGAACTTTTTGCTAGTCAGCTAACTAAGGTATGTAGGAAGCACATCACAATAGTAATGGGGGACTTTAACTACCCTGACATCAACTGGGAGACAAACTCCGCACCAAGTGGAAGATCAAACAGGTTCCTGGCAAACCTAGCAGACAACTTTGTCTCCCAAAAAGTAGAGAAGGGAACTAGGGGATTAGCCATCTAATTCTCACTAACAGAGATGAAATGATAGAAGGTGTTGAAGCCATAGGAACCCTGGGAGGAAGTGATCATGCAATATTAGAATTCAACATTATAGAAGCACAACCAATAGAACACAGTCAAACTAGAGTCTTGGACTTCAAGAGAGCTAATTTCAATAAACTTAGGGCTTGGGAAGGATTCCATGGATGAGAATCCTCAAGGGGAAAACAACTCAAGAAGCTTGGGAAATTTTGAAAAATGAGATAATAAAAACACAGTCTAGCACAATACCAACAAAAAGGAAAAATAACAGCTCTCAAAAGAAACCAGCATGGCTGCATAAAGAACTCTCTGACAAATTGAAAGATAAAAAAGACAAGTATAGAAAGTGGAAAGAGGGGAACATAACTAAGTCAGAATATCAGCAAATAGCCCGAGTCTGCAAAGATGAAGTGAAGAAAGCCAAGGCTCAAAATGGACTAAGGCTTGCGACCAAAGTCAAAAATAACCAAAAAAAGCCTCTTTCAACATGTAAAAAACAAGAAAAAAGTGAAGGAAATGATTGGTCCATTAGTGAGTGGAAGTGGCAAGAAGGTGACAAGCAACAGGGAGAAAGCAGAACTATTTAACTCGTTTTTTGCATCTGTCTTTACACAAAGGGAAAAAACAGACCAACCTATCAAAAATAGTGCCATAAAAAACAAAATAGAAACACAAGTTAAGATAGGCAAGAAAATGGTAAGTGAGCACCTGTCCAGCCTAGATGAGTTCAAATCGCCAGGACCAGATGGATTACACCCCAGAGTTCTCAAGGAACTGGCAGATGTGATATCGGAACCACTGAACTATATTTTTCAAAGATCCTGGAACACAGGG